AAAAATCAAAAGAACACAAGAGTTCCCCTTCTGAAGGAAATGTATGAATTGCCAGAAATGGAATTCAAAACAGTGTTTGAAAGGAAACTCAATGTCACGCAAGAGAATACATATAGACAGCTTAAAGAAATGAGGAAATCAATGATTGACATGAAAGAAAAGTTTGTTAAAGAAATAGAAATCACTAAGAGGAATCACATAGAAATTTTAGAGATGATATCTACAATCAACAAAATGAAAAATATGATTGAGAGCTTTAACAGCAGAATAGGCCAAGTGGAGGAAAGAACTTCTGACCTCAAAGACAAGACTTTTGAAATAACCCAACCAGGCAAAAATAAAGAAAAAAGAATTAAACAGAATGAAGAAAGTCTATATGAAACAGGGCTACCATTAAAACAAATATTCATAATATAAGGATTCTTGATGCAAAAGAAAAGGAAAGAGGCATTGAGAACCCACTAAATGAAATAATAGTTGAAAATCTCCTAGATCTTGAAAGAGACATGGAAATCCAGATACAGGAAGCTTAAAGGATCCCAAGCAGACTCAATTTTCTCCATGGCATATTATACTCAAATTGTCAGAAGTTAAGGACAAGGACAGCATCCTAAAGACAGTGAGAGAAAAGCATCAAGTTACATAAAAAGGAAACGCAATTAGACTAAAACAGACTTGTCAGCAGAAACCCTGCAGGCTAGAAAGAGCAGGATGATGTATTCAAGATCTTAAAAGAAAAGCACTTCCGACCAAGAATATTATATTCAGTGAAGCTATCCTTAAGAAGTGAAGGAGAAATAAAGCATTTCCCAGATGAGCAAAAAGAGAGAATTCACCACACCAGATCAGCCTTACCAGAAATTCTGAAGGGAGTCCTGCTTTAGAAGTAAACACCATGAAAACACATGACACTACCAAATTCACTAACAGAATGAATATAATCAGTAACTGATTAACAATATGATAGATGTTAGTTCTTATCAATACTAAACTTGGATGTAACTGGATTAAATTCTCCAGCTGAAAGATTTAGGTTAGCTGAATGAATAAAAAACCAAGATGTCATTTTTGAGATAACATATTTTAATACACATTATGGTCAAAGACTTAATGTCCCACTAAATAGAGTTCAACAAGTGAAAAAATTTATATATAGGCAACAAATTTCATGAAAAAGACATTTAAATAAATAAAAGACTAGAGAAACACATAAAAGATACTCAGGAAAAGAAAATATGAGCCATGAATTTTATAATAGCTAAGCAATTATTTATGATTGAAAACAGTATTAAGCATATAAGCTCTCACATAACTTTGTACCTGTTTCCGTTTTCTAAAATATCTATTGGAGGATAAATGTCATGCTATGAATCACAACTCAATGTAATGGAAACTTCAGTAAGAAAATAAGTTGTAAGGACTGAAGACATTCTTGGGTGGCTCTACAACTGAAACAAAAGGTCAGTGGAAAGGCAGAAATGAAATTCATATTCACACAAACTGAACACAACAGAATCTTTAATATGGGAAGAGAGTAAGTAAAATTGAATCTCACTTATTACTTTGTAAGATCAAAGGAAATCACTTAAAGCTTTCCAATAAAATACCAAAAAATAACTATTAAGTGTAGTTAAGTAAATCTGATGAAAATTCTATGTCTTAAAGAAGAAATGGAAGTTTGAATGAATATTAAAATTCTCTTACTGTAGTTAATAATTAAAAATAAATAAACATTAGAAATAAAAAGCTAAACGAAATAAAAGTAGTAGAATAATGAAAGGCTAGATTAAAGCTATGTCTCCCTAAACACCAAAAACATTTTATAAGAAGCACAAATATCACATAACTAATATTATATGCATTAATCAAATATATTAGTCAAAATAATATACACATTAATCAAATATATATATATATTAAATATACCTCATAAAATGAATATACAAAATGGCCTAATGAACTGACTCCAAATGTTGAATGCATGTGGGCCTAAGCTGCATATCTTGTTTGAGAACTGGAAAGGACCTTACAGAACATTTTTCCCAACAGCTACAGAATACACATTCTTCTCATCAGCACATGAAGCAAAATTCAATTTTACACTGCAGACAAGAAAATATGCTCACATAGAAAAGCTAAAAATAAGAATAAACTAGATGTTCAAGAAAATGCAAAAAAAAAAAGGAAATCAACAGTCACAATGTTAATGCCAAACAAAATAGAACCAGTTCCAAGAATTACTAAAGAGACAATAACAAATAATGATGAAAGCTTTCATTCACAACAAATATATGAAACGTTTACAAATACTATTTAACAACTAACATGGCAGTAATTTTTGTATAGCAGAGACTATTGGGTAGATAAAGATCATAGCCATAATATTAAGATATCATTAATGCAACTTTCTGAGTTCAAAATGAAGTAGACCTAAAATAATTTACCCTGACTTGATCAGCCCACATTATGTTTTTGGCAATGTCATAGTATAGCTCACAAATTTGTAAAACTATTCCTAATTTTTTAAAATCTTTTTAATATTTAAAGAGACAAAAATGTTAACCCATCTGATATGATCTTTACACATTGAATATATTATTAAATTATCACTTTATACTCTGGAAATATATGCAGTTAAAATAATAATTAAAAAGTAAAATTATGGCCAGCGCCGCGGCTCAATAGGCTAATCCTCCGCCTTGCGGCGCTGGCACACCGGGTTCTAGTCCCCGTCAGGGCACCGGATTCTGTCCTGGTTGCCCCTCTTCCAGGCTAGCTCTCTGCTATGGCCAGGGAGGGCAGTGGAGGATGGCCCAAGTCCTTGGGCCCTGCACCCCATGGGAGACCAGGAGAAGCACCTGGCTCCTGGCTTCAGATCAGCGCGGTGCACCAGCCACAGCGCACCAGCCGTGGCGGCCACTGGAGGGTGAACCAACGGCAAAGGAAGACCTTTCTCTCTGTCTCTCTCTCTCTCACTGTCCACTCTGCCTGTCAAAAAAAAAAAAAGAAAGAAAGAAAGAAAGAGTAAAATTATGATATAGAAGACCTAACTAAATTTAATGAAAAAAGATTTGACTTTGTAATGCAAATGTCTAACAAAAAAGAAACAAGTGAAAACAATCAGAGATCTAAGAATTATAAAGAATGAAGTAAAATGGTGTCATTTCTGAGAACATATGAAAATAAAACTTGAAACCCAATGATAATAGATAATACCATAAAAGAACAATAATAAGGGCATGCAATAGGAGAATGGTATAAAAATGAACATCTCAAGTCAATAGACTTTTATACACAAATAATAGAGAATACAAAAACACAGTGGATGTGAAGATCTATTCAAATGACACCCATAACGAGAGATCAACACATTACTTCACAGTCATTTTCCAGCAGATTTAAACATAAGCAATGACATAAATGGAGAAAATCAATAAACAAAGTGCTTTGTAAAATGTTGCATTATAATGACCATTATTTGCATAAACATTTTACTTTTTTAATCCATGAAATACTCAAAATGTCATGTGTTTGGCTACCAGGGAAGCTTTAACATTCAAACAGTACATTGTTTCAGGGTACATTCTTATTACAATCCATTTTAACAAAGGAAAAGAATTAGAAAAAATAGCAAACTGAAACCCATAGCTTCTGGTAATGAAGAATCCATGGTGAAATAAAAGCTAAAATTTTAAATGATCTAATATGAAACAAAAGGGGGGATGCATATGAAATGTATGAGACACAAGCAAACTTCCTGCCTAAAGAACAATAGATAAATCTAGTCTAAGTGCTGGTGCTGTGGTCTGGATATGGGTTTGAGTGCTTCCCAGAGGCTGATGATGAAAGGTTTGGTCCCAGGATGGTGTTCCTGAGAAGTGGTGGAACTTCTGAGAGAGAGGACATAGTAGGAGGTCCTTTGGTGATAAGGAGGATGCCCTGGGAGGGGACTGTAGCCCCCCCCAGTCTGAATCTCTGGTGACAAACTCTTCCATACACGTGCACTTCTATTGTAATCTACTGCCACCCCACTCTCACTAAAGACCAGGTCAATGGGACTCAACTCATCTGTACATTGAACCTCCAAACCATGAGCTAAATAAACCTTTTCTCTTGTGACATTAACTGCCTCCAATGTTTTGTGATAATGATGAAACAGTTCATCTGAAATGTTAAAGAATAAAATTATTTTAAGCAGTTTAGAAGATAAAAGCAAAAAAAAAATTCTAGAAGAGAAAAAAAACTAATCAATACAAAAGCTTGAAGTAGGGGCTGGCATTGTGGTTCAGTGGGTTAAGCCCTGGCTTTTAACACTTACAGCCCAGCTGCTCCACTTTGGATCCAGTTCCCTGCTAATGCACCTAAGAAAGCAGTGGAAAATCACCAGATTTTTGGGCCTCTACTACCTATGGAGGGGATCCAAATGGAGTTCCTGGCTTCTTGATTGAGCCTGGCCCAGCCCTACCAATTATGTCCATGTGGGTAGCGAATCAACAGATGGACAAACTCCCTCTGCTTCTCCCTCTGTCTATGTCTATGTCTGTCACTCTGCCTTTCAAATAAATAAACAAACCTTTTTTTAAAGTCTTTAAAATAGCAAAATATTGTATTAAAAATCTTATTTCCAATTGGGTAAATATATAAGTAAAAAGATTTTTGAAAAGACTGATAAAACTACTAACCCTCTAATAACTAGAATAAGAAGAAAAAGAGAGAGAAAGCAAATGATATATTGTCCCCCTGCCACTACCACAAAAAAGTCAATCTTTATCTTTAAGGATATTAAAATATGAAATTATGTCTGGTATTTGTTGCAGAATAATTCAGGTTACAGTCACTGAAGCAAGATTAAAGATTCATAAATATTCATCATACTATTCTCAGCTTTTTCCAATTACACAATTTCCCTTGAAGCTACCATTCCACCTTTTTTTTTTTTGTTATTTGAATAAAAGTATCTGTTTCAAAAGAAACTGCCTCTACTTCTACATCCACTTCTCCCATCATTCTACCAGATTGCCAAACTCAGCAACCTATGTTCATTTTGCACCTAATTTGATTTCTCTGCAGCATTCGAAAACACTGGTCAATCCCTTTTCAAAATGAGCCTCACAGTTACTGGAAGTAACTGGTTAGATGGAAGGTATACCTGGTTTTTCCAGTACTCTAGGCCCAAGGGTCAAGGGTCAAACATAAATAATTCCATGGCAGTTAGCAGCCTTGAGAGCAGGCTGGTCTCACTGCAGTGCTGCAGGGTGGAAGTTATCTTCTCTGTTCCACAAGATACTTTAGCTTCTGCCATTGCCAATGCCTCAGCAGTCACCAAAACCCCAGATTTTGCCCTTCCTCCTGTGACTAATCAAATCAGAGAAGTCTATGAAATATCCACGCAGTCTCAGCTAGAAATCCCACTCGCAATGGTGTATATATCAAGCAGAAATATGCAGGCCATCAACATGCTCTCCTCCTCCTGGGCCACAGTCTTGTTGACAATAGGAATCATTGTGGATGAATGGGTGGAGCTGATCCCCAAAAGACAAACGATCAAAGTGAACCACAGTCCATGGATGACATGCTGCATTACTACTTGGCCAGAAGGTCAGAACTACCCTCTGGGAAGAAATGAGTGGTGAGGAAGGGTTCATCATTGCTTTAGTTTGCTGCACCTCACCAGCTTTTCCATTCTTCTATGGCACAACTTTCTCAAACTGCAGTGTGTCCATTTCCAGAAACAACACAGGCAAGGCAGACTCCACAATCCACCATTTGCATGTTTGAGAGAAAAGTTCAGAAGCTTACCTATTTATCTGCTAGGCAACTGAGAAACGTTGGCAGGAGGAGTGGGTGTGAGGGCAGCGTAAAGCACAACTTGAGTGTGAGGAGTGTGAAAGGAAGGGAACTGGCAAGGAGGAAAAATAGGTCGCGTTGCCTCTGAAAGAAGGCAAGGTGAATTGGAGTATTTAACAAGAAATGAGTTCTGAGAAAATAATAGGAGAGAAAGAGGCTTACAGAGATACCAAGACAGGAAGCAGTTTCTGGGTTCCTCTCATTCAGCTGAAGGGCCCTGCCCCTTTATGCTGCCCCTCTTGCTTTATTTGTTACTTAGTCAAATCTTCACTCTGTTCCCATTTCCACCTAGTGATTTCCCAGCCCCTTGCCTCACTACAGCTCTGCTTCCCAACAGGTGAGCTGGAAAGAATCCGGATGATGATGGTTGCAGTCCTCGGCATTTCCTTCTCCCTTAACTTGATCCTGGGTCTGGAATTCACCTATGTGATTCCTCAGAACATATATATACACATCCTCACTGCCACCGAAGGTCTCCTCTCAGGTAACTTCCGAGCTCCTCTAACACAGGTGGGAGGTGTGACGGGTTTATGGGTCCAAGCTGCAGCCTCTAGCTAACTGGCCTTCCCAGTTCTCTCGGTCAGACCTACATACAGCTTCTGAATTAGGTCTATCACCAAAGCCAGGTCAAAGACACAGCCAATCAGAGTGAAACCTGGGAGGTCACGTGTATCTTGGGGGAATGAACTGAGCAAAAGAAAGTTCCTGAAAAAGGACTCTTTTTTTCCTCCTGTCTGGACATTAGGTATCCTTCTGGTCTGTGCACTCCTACTATACCACCAAAAGCTAAGTCAAGGTGAATCCGTGTACTTCACTAGATACAAGATCTCCCTGGCCACTTTCATTGCCTACTTAAACGTTTTCTTCTTTTTTGTCACTGGTGAGTGTCTGCAGGGTCTATGAAGGGTGATAAGAACCAATGCAGCCAAGATAGAGAAGAAGGTGAAAGGGTGGGACAGGGAAATGAAAAAAAAAATTCTACCCCTGCATTTTGACAGGCTAAAGCTCACCTTGATCCATTCTGTAGGACAGTTCCTATAGGGAGAGAGCTGGAGATCGGGCCTGTGTGAAGAGTGTCTTCTGTCTTTCACACCTTTTCCACCTTTAGGCAGAGATGACCACCACGGCTGCAGTCAAAGAGCACGGCTGGGACAGAATGCTCAATTATAGAGAGGGGCAAGGGACTGCGGAAGCAGAGTGAAGTGCCAAGCCTGCTTGAGGACAGGGAAAAGCAACAGCTGATGCTAAAGGGGCACCTACCAAAACCAGAAACCTTCATTCTTAATAAGTTTTTAAATTTTCATTTGCAATTGCACTTCCTAACCCGGAAAGAGACATCTCTTCCCTCAAAAAAAGTGTTTAAGCTACTGTGCATATAATTCCAGTCTCCTCCACTAAACCATTCCCCTCCCAGATGGAATAGGGTAGTTGGCTGGGACTCACTGGGCTTTGGGTTAGGGCCTTCTGCCAACATAGAGGGAAGCGTGCCTAGGACTCTCCATTGTTCCTTCATCCCACTCCCTGGTTTCTCATTTCCCTAGGAATCATCTCTCTCATACAGTGCAAGCAGTCCATAAATTGCAGCACCTGGCTGCACCTCACTAATCCTGCCAAGGAACGTGAGAATACACAGCTACCTAAGACTTCTGTCCAGGTGATGTCATTACCAGAAAACACCATAATGCCTCGCAGTATTGTCCACAAGCACTCCTCCATGAGCTCGAAGGAAGATATTCCAAGCAAATCGCAAGTCCAGACGCGTCGTGTGACCTGGGCTTTATGATTGGACAGTGGGTACCTTTCAGTACATGCCCATCTTTATACAACTGCTTTGTGACTGTGTGCCATGTGGTCTCCAACCCTCTGCCCGCATTTAGCTTTGTGTTAATGACTGTGAATGGTTTGGAGACCTGTGAAAAGATCCAGATGATGGCTTTCTTTTTTATCCTGACATGTTGAATAAATAGTTTCTTCTACAATATTTGTTGCCAGTGTAATAAATATTTCCATATAAATAAGACTTGCTGTATTCTTAACTGTGTATACCACAAAGATTAAAATACCTTTTATTTTATCATGACATGTTTCAAATATACAGAATACAAGACAATATGACAAACACCTATATACATCCCTGAACTGTATAAATGTTAAAATTTCCTCTAGAAAATTTTCAACTAAATTTAGAGATGGAGGGGCAGGAGTTTAATCTAAGCTGCCAATTGGGATATCTACATCCCACATGACAGTGCCTGACTTCAAATCCTGGCTCTGCTCCCAATTCCAGCTTCCTGCTAATGCACACCCTGTAAGCAGCAGATCTTGGCTCAAGTAAATGAGTCCTATCCACCCACGTGGGAGACCTGGACTGGGTTCTGGGCCCCCAGCTTTGGCCTGGCCCAGCCCCCATCACCGCAGACATCTGGGGAGTGAACCAGCAGATGGGAACGCTGTATGTACCTCTGCCTGTCTCTTTCTCTACTCCCTCTCTCCCTCTCCCTGTCTCTCAAATAATAATAATAAATATATTAATACAAAAAATAAATAGGTATAATTAATTTTCCTCTAACCTATTCCTAATCTCATTCATCTCCTTTTTTTTAACATTTATTTTGTTTATTTGAAAGGCAGAGTGTATGATTAAGACACATCAAGTTCAATTCCGGATTCTACCTTCAATTCCAGCTGTCTGGGAGGCAGCAGATAATGGCTTAAATACCTGGGTCCCTGCTACCCATATGGGAGATTTGGATTGAATTCCAGGCTCCTGGAATTGGCTGTTGCTAACATTTGAGAAGTAAGCCAGCTGGAGGTGTCTCTCTCTCCTCTCTCTCTCTCTCTCTCTCCCTTTCAAATACAATGAAAATTAAAAATAATTTTAAATACATTAAGAAATAAGTTAGTTCTTTGCTTTTAAATTATTGCTAACTGTGTGGTGATACATGGTTACAACAAAGTAGAAACAAACCCTGTTCAGAAAATCTTATGTCTTCAGAAGATTAAAACTTATCTCACGTGAGAATACCGGTAACTGCAGCAGCAACAGAACAAGAAGCAGTAAGGCATTTTACCAAGGAGAAAACAGTACAAGAAAAGATGCAATAATAAAGAGGCCATATGTCCATTAGATTATAGAAAGCAATTGCACGTAACTCAGTGTACAGCAAAGACCCACTACAAATATATATATATATATAATATATTTGAAGTCATACAGAGGAACGATTTTGAATTCTGATTTCTGAATAAACCGAATGATGTAATATAACAGTTGTCTGCATTTATCTGGGTAGTAGATGAATGAAATTAATAAATTTTATATTTCTAGTTACATAGTTTGTGCTCAAAGATTTTCTCACAAGGTAATAAACCAGAATATTTTTTCTCAAATTGATCTACCTGAAATATAATGTAATGATGGTCTATACAATGGAGTGCTAGGGGAAAATTCTGTATGTGATGTAAGGAGAAATCTCTGGAGGATGCCCTGAGTAATTATATAGAATGACAGCCATGCAGAGACTGACAGGGCGTCTACTCCAGTGTTCAATGCAGTCCTTACACCATCACTCACATTACCACTGTCAACTTTGCTATTGCTGTTGGATGTTGCTCCTCAGCCTCTTCTGTGAGGATTGAAACAATCATAACCTGTCCATAATGTAATCCGACCTTTAATCCAGTTATGACATTTTTCACTTTGCTGTGTATTTTTTTTATTTTTTTTAAAGTTTTATGATCAAATCAATTGTTCCATGTTGTTGTTGTTGTTGTTTTTTGTTTTTTGTTTTTTCTTTTTTTTGACAGGCAGAGTGGACAGTGAGAGAGAGAGAGAGAGAGAAAGGTCTTCCTTTTTCCATTGGTTCACCCCCGCAATGGCCACTGCGGCCTGCGTGCTGCAGCCAGCGCACGGTGCTGATCCAAAGCCAGGAGCCAGGTGCTTCTCCTGGTCTCCCATGCAGCTGCAGGCCCCAAGCACTTGGGCCATCCTCCACTGCACTCCCGGGTCACAGCAGAGAGCTGGACAGGAAGAGCAGCAACCAGGACAGAATCCAGCACCCTGACCAGGACTAGAACCTGGTGTGCTGGTACCACAGGCGGAGGATTAGCCTATTGAGCCACGGCACCAGCCTGTGTATTTATTTTTAATTGAATAAACATCTATTATCCTACCACTACCCAAGAACAAGAACCATATCAATAATAGCAGCTACCTCCATCCAAGCTCCCCACACCAATGATAAATTTTGTGTTTATAATTACCTGTTTGTGAATTGCTTTATCATAAACATACATTTCCAGTTTTTGAAACTTAGGAAAAGGAATTTAATATCACTATATAATGTTTTCTGAGACTTGCTTTTGTTATTCACATACTTGGTACTAAAATTGATTTTTTTACACATACCTGTACCTCATTCATTTTCTCACTATATTTGTATTTCATTGTTACTATACAGTTGTCCTCAGTCTCTGTCTAGATCCAGAAATCACCCTCCCATATCATAATCCACAAATGCTCAAGTTCTTCATATAAATGAGTTAGTATTCCCATAAACCTATAGACATCCTCCCACTTGCTTTAAATCATCTCTAGATTCCTAATAACACCTAATCAATATAAATGCTAGGCAAATAGTTGTCATAATGTTTATGAATAATGACAAGAAAAATTTGTACATGTTCAATACAGAAGCAACTGCTTGTTCTAATATTTTCAATACATGGTTGATTGAATCTGAAGATGCAGACTGATGGATGTATGAGGACGCCAGTTTTTATGTTCTTCTGTAGTCTGCCAAAAGGGCATTTAAACTGCTTTTACCTTTGCCATCATAATCAGTAAATCTCTGGACAGTTCTACATTTGTCCAAGTTTCTCTTGCGTGGAACAGGGGGTTGTAGGATAGGCAATTATCTCACTTGACAAAATAAGAGCAATTATTTTAGAAAGCAATTGTTTCCTTTTATGCACCTATCAGCAATGTCTAAGATATTTTTGATGCACATCTTCCCTATCATGCGATACTTTCAGAACTCCTGGGTTTTGGACAATTATGTTCATATGAGTTAGTACTTCAGTGTGGTTTTTTTGTTTTGTTTTGTTTTGTTTTTTGTTTTTTTGACAGGCAGAGTGGACAGTGAGAGAGAGAGAGAGAGACAAAGGTCTTCCTTTGCCGTTGGTTCACCCTCCAATGGCTGCCGCGGCTGGCGCACTGTGGCCGGCGCACTGCGCTGATCCGATGGCAGGAGCCAGGTACTTCTCCTGGTCTCCCATGGGGTGCAGGGCCCAAGCACTTGGGCCATCCTCCACTGCACTCCCTGGCCACAGCAGAGAGCTGGCCTGGAAGAGGGGCAACCGGGACAGAATCCGGCGCCCCGACCGGGACTAGAACCCGGTGTGCCAGCGCCGCAAGGGGGAGGATTAGCCTAGTGAGCCGCGGCGCCGGCCTGAAGCCATCAAATATATTAACAATAATTACATCTATAAAAGTGACCTAGATCACCAGGGAAGATAACAAAAGGAGACAATCTACAAATTAGTTGAAGGATGGGCAACCAAAAGAAGAAAAATTAAGAGAGTATGGTACCACAGAATAGGATAAAAGACAAGGGGAGAACATTTCAAGTAGCATCGTGACAGACTGAAAGTATCTTCTACCTGCAGTGGCAACAGATCTGAATGACTTCAGTAAAAAAAATATATAGGATCTGGGAAATAAAACCTAAAAAAGAAAGAGGGAACATAAAATACAATACTATCAAGAAAGTTGTCTGGAATATAAGCAGTACTGTAATATGAAGGAAATGTGGATTAAAGCAAAAATTATTTTGAAATACAAGATGCATTTTTGTGAAATGTTGGCTGTAAGAGTGCAGATGTGGGGACAGGCTGAGGCTAAAGGACACAGGGGAGGAGTAACACTGGATTGGTTCCCAGAGATGGCCAAAGGTAATGGACATCTGGAACACTAGTGGAAAGCTAGTTGTTGGGAGAAATTTGGGTTACAGACTAGTAACTAGGGGTGGATGCATTGAGAAGAGGAGCCATACCATGTAACATGCAAATTATCACAGTGCCCTAAAAAAAAAAGATTTAATTTATTTGTTTGTTTGTTTACTTATTTATCTATTTGAAAGTCAGAATTACAAAAAGAGAGGGAGAGACACAGAGAGCTCTTCCATCTGCTGGTTCACTCTTAAAATGGCCACTTTAGCCAAGGTTGGGCCAGGCCAAGAGGCAGAAGCTTCATCCATGTCTCCCAGGTAGGTGCAGGGGCCCAAGCACTTGAGCCATCTTCTACTTCTTTCCCTGGAACATTAGCAGAGAGCTGGATCGGAAGTAGAGCAGCTGGGACTCAAACCAGCACCCATGTGGGATGCCGGCACTACAGACAGCAGATTAACCCACTGTACCATGGCACCAGTCCCTCACAGTGCCTTTGGACAGCTGCCCTAAAGTGAATCTTAAGAAGACCTAAAGGCTTGGCCCTTGACTTTAAGTAGAAAATGATCACAAAATAAAGTATAATTCTATGGGTAGGCATTTGGTACAATAATTTAGTTTGAGTCTCAGCTCTGTTTCCAGTTCTACCTTCTTGCTAATGTTTACCCTGAGAGGAATCAGGGATAGCTCAAGGACTTGGCTCCCTACCACCAACATGGGAGAACTGAATGGAATTCTGGGCTTCTCTCTCTCTCTCTGTTTCTGTCTTTATCTGTCTCTTTGCATTTCAAATAAAAATAATTAATAAAGTTGATAAGTCAATGTAAATTTTTTTAAAAAGTATAACTTTAATAACATGCAAAATAGAACAAAATAATTAAGTCCATCATTGAATAATACAATTTATTATTATTCATTGGTCAAAAATTATTTATTTAGTCATCCATGTACTATATGCTTTAGTGCCTATTATGTATGACAGTGAACAGAAAAGACAAAATCTATGACTTCAATCAGTTTAAATATAGTAGG